TCTCTCTCTCTCTCTCTCTCTCTCTCTCTCTCTCTCTCTCTCTCTCTCTCTCTCTCTCTCTCTCTCTCTCTCTCTCTCTCTCTCTCTCTCTCTCTCTCTCTCTCTCTCTCTCTCTCTCTCTCTCTCTCTCTCTCTCTCTCTCTCTCTCGTGCCACTTTTAGAACGTAATTTCGTCGAGTAAAGTAACAATGGAACAATCAGTGAGAATCAAAGAGCGCCAATTAATGTTGGTTATGTCATTATATTTATTATAACTGAATTCCAACCGTTCTAATCGATATTTGCATCTTTAGAAACCTCAATTTCACTTCATACTTAATATTTTTAGCTTGAATTTATATTTTAATTTTAATACTCCGGTTTCACGCACACAAACACACAATGTTCCAATATATTACAAAAATGTTGACGAAATTACGCAGACTTAGGGTGAAAATGAGGGGGGGGGGATTTAAACGGCGACTTTCCGACGGTCGAAGTAATCCCTTCGTAAAGCGATTTCTCACACTCGACCGCGCGCATTCGTACTTCCGTTCGAAGCGCTCGATATGCAATAAAACAACGTCGGGCATCGTTCAAGCGAATGATCCTCCCCGCCTGCGAGGTGTGTGTAAGTTCGTACAATGCGCGATCCGCAGAGAATATCCGATTCTTCTTTTATAATCGTCGAAAGCCGAGCGAGCGAGTGAGTGAGCGATCGCGGCCGATGAGCTCGATATTATTATTGTAGAAAGCGTTCCGAGCGAGGCCGCGAAGTGATTCAGAGCTGCCTCACTCTGAAACCTCTCAACCGTACGCCTTTTCACATTAGTAGAATAATACTATGCATACAAAGGTAATTATAGCAGTCGGTCATTAATCCGTGCGAGATAAACATTTGCCTTTGATTGCATTTATTTCGTTTTTTATTCTACACACGATTGCAATTATTTCCGTCATTTCTGCATTTTGCATATATTTTCTACGTATTCTTGGTTATTATTTTATAATTGTTATTATTATTGTTCAATTATATTTATATATCGTATTCGATTGAGTTTAATGCAATTTTCATCGTTCATGAAAATCGTGCGCGAGTGTTCGTTTGCGGTGGCGCAACGTACATAATCATATTTCGAAGAGACGCAACGACGTGTCACACACGTGTCGCGAATCCACCGCACACGTGGCACGCATCGCCGATGCCAAACGCGAAGCGAAGAAAAGAATAGAACGGCAACGAAGAAATACAACGACGCGGGGGAAGGATGCGAAACGGGATACTTGGCCGTGCCAGATGCCTCAATTCGCCTCGCGCTCCTCCTCCTTCGCGCAATTGAAGAGTCTGTTTCTAAGCCGTCTTGAAACCGTATATATTTCAAATTAAAGATTATGCGCTGCACAGTGTCACGTGGTGAGCTCAAGTGTTATCTCCACTGTTTAAAGTACAGATTTCCAGAGAGACGGTTTAGAAATAAGTTCTTCAAAGCGGCGATTTAGATTATTCATTAATGAAACCAATGAAACGTAATAATTGCAATCCTTGTGCATAATATAATTGTAACACAATTTCCTTTTGTAATGATAACGATATTGCAAAAGGAAACCGTGTTATAATTCGCGCGAGACAACGCAACTGGACCACTGCGAGCCGTCCTGTAATTGCTTGACAAATGTATCCCGTGAATGCAAAAGGACTGCATTTATGCGACAAATTACATCGCATTATCGTATATTCAGTTAGAACAATGAATTGAATGGGAGAAATGGCTTTCCCTTATCGCAGGAAACGGTTTGAAAGATACGGGCAGAAATATCAGAATATTCTCTCGTGTGTCGGAAGTTCAAACCTTTTCCAGCGATAAATTCCCATCAATTTCTCCTCGCACGTTCGTTATTGCAGCGCATACGTGACGCTCCGATTCTCGTGACAAACTAACGTCGCGTGACGGCGACAATTTTCTTTAATAAATTTTTTGAACAAAGAAATTGATATATTATCTATTGGGCGTCGAAAAACCAGCAAATGTCCTAATAATAAAGCTAAATATTTGTTTGAGACCAAGTTAATTAATTGAAAATAAAGTTAATTAAAAATTTAATTATAAATGCTCTGTATATTTTCTGTTACGCTAATTGATTATTTTTAATATGACGAAATCTATGACAGATGATTAGTAGCCTTTAGACGCTTAAGAAGAATTTTGGAAATTTACTTTTTTATGTGCCTGATATCATACTTTTTTGTTTTTTTAGAATATTTTGAAAGAACATATAATTAAAGGAAACAGTTTGATGATGTCTCCAATAATGATCTAAAAGGAAAAGATTTGATGTAATAGTTTCCGCATTTTAATTAAAATCTCGCATTATTTTTAATGACAACTCATTCGCGTTCAAAAAGTGGAAAGAGGAAGTTATATCACCCATCTTAAGAAATGTCTAGAAAATTTGTCCTATTTGTAAAATACGCGTAAAAGGCGAGAGAGAAAAATCAGAAGAAAGTATAGAAAGTATACTGAATTTATAAATTTGTAGAAATCATTTATCTAAGCTTTTTGAATTATTCACACATCTTCATTATTGAAAATCTCGCGTTCAAAGGATTAAAAGCACGATGAAAGGCTTTTAAAATGCTGGCAGCAGAAGCATGTCCGATTCACCTATTTTTTTTATAGGTCTCAAGCGCGATTCACGGACTTAGATCGTCTTGAGCACGCGTCGTACCATTGTTGTTTTCACGCGTGAACGCGTGCGTGGTGCGGCGAGAAATCGATTGGACCAGGCACGCAACGCGTATGCACGCACTCGGCACTCGGCACACGCACACTCTTTCGCATTCCCAAGCTGGGAATTTCGTTTATTTTCTTCTCTCTATTTTTTTAAGAATGCAAGGCGAAGGACGCTCGGCGGATGTGCGACCGATGACGAGAGGACAACGCCCTTGCTGCACCGTGACTCGTTTCCCTCTAACGCATCGACGACGAGGATCAACGAGGAGAGGTCGATTCGCACGCTGAAGCTCTACTCGTCGCCGAGCGTAGTTACCGCGTTGTAACAAGGTAATCGAGAATAAATCGTTCCGTCCAGGCGGAAATTAACTTCAGAGCATCGGACTGGTGTCCCTCGCAGCCCAGCCGAATTCACACACGCACACATTGATGCACAGCTCTCGAATGACGATTCACGTATTTTGTAATACAATTTTAATAGAATGACTCGTATAATTTAATAAAACAAGTGTTTTTTACATTACAAGATGGAAGATATAACTTTTCTTTCCGACTTTTTAAACACGAATCGTGAGAGTTATCGTTAGAAATAATATAAAGTTTTAATTAAAGCGCAAAATTATGAATTACGGTCAGCCAAATAACACGAAAGGTAATAAATTAATTTGAAAACTCGACTTTTTCATTTGGGTGGCAGGATATTGGAAGTACGAGCGCCATAACGCCGTCAGAAACGTCCCCAAACGGCGCGAATTTACGCCAATTAAGACTACACTCCTGCATTCCAGAGTAGATGTGAAAAAGCGTACACGCATATTCTGAAACTTTCGCCTGTCGTTTCAATGCCATGCGTATTCGTTATCAAGTTTTTCCATCGCGCAATTAAAGAGAAGTATTTTTTTCATCATTTCTCTCATCATTTTAATCACCTCTTCTGTCTCTATTAAGGCAACTATACTGAATAAAAACGACAATATCGTGTTAAAAAGTGATTCTAATGACTATAACGATGTTGATTGAGCCATTAAGCGGAACAGTAGTACAAGTCACTGGTAATGCCACACATTTCAAAAACGCGTCGCGTAATTCAGGATCTTTCGAGGTTTAACGACTGTTTTCTATCGTCACCGTAAAAAGGATACAACGATAAAGTCTGGACTTTATATGCGGTGTTGTCACGAACAATTGTCAAATGTTTCATGTTTTCAAGTGAGGAAATTGTAATTTGTACCGCCGCTATTCCGCCCCGAGCGAGAGGGGATCAACCCGCAGCGACGAGACGCCGTGACGCGAAGCGAAACGGACGGCCGCGGAAGCGTCGTTTGCGGCCTAACCTCGACTAAGCTTCCCGAAATCGCGTCGGCAAGGATCGAGTAGCCGAGAGATACGATCTCTCGCGAGGATACGCGCCAAATAGCTTTTAGGTCATGCCATGGCGACCGGGATTTAGCGCGGGACCGCAGCAACGCGACACGGCCGCCAGCTGATCCTCGAATGTCCTAGTTCGTCTCGTTCGAGGGGGAAGTCGTTAAGTGTCCCCGAGAGACGAGATAGTTTTTTAGCGGAACTTTGCGAAAAGTTACTCACCATCACTTCAAATTTTCACACCGTGATGCGCGCCCGCTGTTGATCGTCTACGTAGAGCACGAAATGTAGCAGAACCGTAACGGCCCGCGATATTACTGGATATCGACAAAACTCTTCCGGAATACACAACCTTCCGACCAAACAGTCGAGCGACGACTGATTGGACTGATTTTTATCGAACCGTCCGCAGCGAAATGCGGCTCGCGCCGTGTCCGACCCGCTATCTCACGTTAAGAACCCCAAGTACAATTATGGTGTTACCAACTTACCGACCTTTAAACCGCTAACTACATTTCAGAATTGGAACTACATAGCCATATGTATTCTTTGACCGCCAGTAAATGACGCTCCTGTTTGGTGTATGTCCATGCTACATCTACAGATTACAAATTTGAAATTAAAAATCAAGATTTGTTGTGTGAATGATTTGATTATAAAGGGCGTTTTAGAATTACAGATACTTTAACATTTTAAAGAATATAGATGGTTGACAACTGAGCAGTTTTATTCTATATTTAATTCAAATTACTTTATGTTATAAAAATAATAATTTTCTTATTTAATTTTACAAATTCTCTATATATACAAAAATGATGCTCTATATATACAATATATGAAAAAATGTTTTGCTTTAAGAAGTGGAGTCGTCAACCTTGTCATCCGTCATGAAATTAATTACGGATAGTTTGAGAGCACAATCTTGATAGGAACAAGTGCTTATCAGAGTGTTTCCAGTGGATATATTTAAACGCTTCAGGTCTTCCTTGTTTAAGGATGACCAATCGCAACCGTATGATAATCCGGAGTGTTCATCATAATGGCCACAAACAGACATCAAAACCTCAGAGCTCCAATTGACAATCCTAAAGCCTTCAGACATGCATGCAGCGAATAAATACTGATGTTTAAATGGATCCCATTTCAAACGCCAAATTCCACCCTCGAGATCAATCTTTGATATTGGTTGATTTAAATTTCTCGTATCCCACAGCCTTAGAATCTGATCATAACTGAAATTTATAGGAAATTAATAACTAAAGTAATCTTATAAAAAATTAAATATAAAAAACGTATTTTAATCTTGGACTCAACTTCTTTTATTTCATAATCGATTTATAGAGCAGTCTATTGTAAAAGACGACTGCGGCTTTATGAAACTAAATGTAGATAATTGTCTGAACATTTTTTTACCTTCCAGTCACGAGCGTGTGTGGTTTAACGATGTTATTATGGATACTGGTGACGCCATAGATGTGCTCACGACTGCGGAATACGGGAACAGATCCTACTCTTGTATCGAAAGTCAGAAACTTGTTATCATCGCCTCCTGAAATTTATGATACATTAGTTAAAAAAAACAATCAATGACTTTTCAATAATACTTTAAAAAATTTATATTTCTACTAATTTTAATTCTGTCCTGCTTTCTTTGTTTATAAACTGATAGAATATTTACATCTTTAATATAAATTTATTTGAAATTATAAATTCGCATATCATCATACCGGAATAAAAAATATTCTTGCTGCCGTAATTAAAGGCTACAATCCACGCCTGGAACTGATGTGCGGACCATGTGAAATTTTTCGTTAAATTGCTTGTTTCGTGCCATGTGAAGTGAGATATCCGACCTAGACTGTCACTCACGGCAATGTGCGGTATCGAGTCAGAAGTCCAAGCACCCCTTCCGACGGACCAATCTAAAGACAACGCCATGACTTTTTCATCATCGGCACCGATTTTCTCCTCTGCAATTAGTTTAAATTCTGTTTTGTTGTGCGCTGAATCGGCGTATCTTAACTCATAGATTTGCAGGTATCCATTGGAGTTGACAACGCCAAGCAATATCCTATTATTGTCGATATCCGTGATGTGCATCCACTTCATATCTAAAATGCCAGAAGTATCTATCTGATGCAACATTTCTAATTTTCCGCCTTTCACTACACGAAATAAATAAATTTGTCCTATTCGTCTGTTTCTTAAATTCGGACTGTCATTAATTTCAGGCAACTTGTACGTTCCGCACGCTAGTACGTCTTTAAATGGCTCCGCGGGACACCATTCAACAGAATCTGCAGATAATTCCGTTATGAACGTATCTAAAGTATGAAAATAGTCTTTCGATGCCATTTTTCTGAAGAATTATCTGAAACAAAAAATTTTCGATGTATCTTAATGTTTCACTCATCAATTAATTTTCAGTAATTAAATCAAGCTTTTTGATAAGTATCATAGATTGACTTGAAGTTAATAAAAATACATTTTTCATTCGATAATTGTTTTCCAATTTGATGATAATTTGTTAATGATTTATAAGACGCCATATAATAATAATTGATCAAATTTGTGACTAAAATAATAAAACTCAAAGAGAGTATTCTGAAGGAAACAAGGGATAAAACACTATAATAAAAAAAGAGTGAAAAAATTAATACAAGTAAAACAAATAAAGATGTACAAGATAAATTATAAACCAAAATCAATAAAATCATCCTCAAGCAACATAAAAGATACTACTTGGGTGCTTTACCTAAAACACAAACTCCTTTTCAATAGAAACATGTTTATTTGGCTATAAATATTACAATTTTTAAGTGTAGGAACACATTTGTATTATATGTTATACTTTTTTGTACTTATCAGCTTATACTATATTATATAATAAGTTAATAACTGATGTAACAATATATCATATTTAATTAGTATGATAAATGCTATGATGAGCACATAAGAGCCAGCGACACTACAATGCGGTTGAGCGCATTAAATCATTTTAATTTTTGTTAAAATAATCTTATTTAAGAGGTATAAGCAATTATTTTTCAATTATTCTGGAAAAGCCGATAACTCTTATAAAAGATACTTGCTGTACTTTAATGAACGTTTTTGTCATGTGGTGGAATCGCCCTTATATGTTCATTAGAGCTTTTATCACTGTCTTACTAATTATAGATTAAATTACATGAAAATGTTTCCATAAAATTGTCATTGTTTGTATGATTAAAATCATACACTGATTATCTTAGTTGCATTTGTACTGTCATCTTCAATATTATTAAAGCTTTAAACATTATATTAAGGCTATATTAAATGTAAAGGCTATAAATATATAGAGATATACTTTCTAACACAAATTTCACTATTAAAAAGAGATTAAATATTATTAAGAAAAATATAGAACATAAATAATCAAGCTGTAAATAGAAAATAGTGCAACAAACTAAATTAAAATTAAATAAAGATCATTCTAGTATTCTTTTTCATTGTACTCTGGCAGTGCTCAGAAGTTCATTCTATCGGTTTAATGCTAGAAGTCACTAATATTGTAATTAATTAAGATTTTGTTTTGTCAATCAATATAAAATTAATATATCAGTATTTTGTAATTAATATAAAACTCATTTTTTATTGAAAACATATCAGCACCTCAGAATATACTATATTAAGCCACATTTTTTTCGAAAATTGAATTATTATTATCACAAGACTATACTCCAATTTTTATCCAATGGTAAACAGTTTTATGTCTTTAGTTGCTAATAAAAGAGTATTATTTTTCAAAATTGATTTTGATACCAAACTAAATTTTTAAAAAATTAATCTGAACAAAAATCGTCGAGCAATCGTAAATATCTCTCAAATTATGTTGTGACTTAACACATTCTACCTCTAAGTGCTGATATATAAAACAACAAAAGTGTATTTTAATATTATTTTATTTTTCTTGTTATAAACTGTAATTTTTAAAATTCTATTTTTTTTACAAGTGGTTGAATGATAATTAGTGACTTCTTATATTAAACTGATTTTACATATATATATATATGTAGCAAAGAAAATAAATTTTTGATTCTTTTATTTTAATTAAATACTAATAATTTGTTTATGCATCAAAGAAAAAACAAATCCTTAGTCATTTAGTTAAAATAACATTTACAAAGAAAATATTCTTAATTTTACTAGATATAACTAGCATCTGTGTGATATCATTATAGTTATTATCTTATAATTAGATTATTCATTTATTAATACTCTGAGTTGGTCAAAAATTTGAGGTAGAACAAATACTGTTGATAATGGAATACATTCTTCCATATTAAGAGGTATATCTTAAAGGCAAAGAATTATTGTATCATGATACAAGGTCTTTCCTATACAATAAATAGCTCAATATATTGATTATGAAACTTAATATTATTGTGTTTTTTTGGTATTTTTTGTTTGAGCCTCAGCTCGGCATTGTTGGACTAGACGACATGCCTTTGCGAGATCGCGTTCGACCTTACGCATCGTCTTGCAAATTTTACTACCAGTATAAAAGGGTTTGAGGTCGCGACCTAGCTGCTCTATAGTCCGCAGCAATTTTACATAATTTGATTGTGCAGGAACGGAAGGTAAAGATACAGGCACGATCGGCTGGGAGGCCCTCGGATTTGGAATCGTCAACAACGGCTCCGCGATTTTCGCAGTAACCCCTACACTTTTGCGCTGCTTTCCCATCCCTTGTACAGTGCGCGATCTCTTATTTAATACACCTTGAGAAATAATCGGGTGAGATAATCTATGAATACCAGATTGCTCGATCTTAAAAACCATTAAATATTATCACTTTAAATAGCTTTTTGCTTATTCACATTTTAGCAAGTGAAAGAAAAGTCAATCAAAAAGCTAACCTCTAAAGCAAATGTGAGAAAGAAAAAATGTTTATCAATTTTATTTCAATGTATCAATAGAATTTTTGATACAAACCTTAAATATCGTTCTGCCGAGCACGACAAACTGAACAATTTTGTAAAAAACTTGCACAGGATTAATAAATATACCAATAAAATGATACAATTGTGTATAACTACCGGCCGATTACCACCACAGATTACGATCGATACTTTATATTGTTGTGTAATCAAACACGTGTAAACCAAAAGTTTATTCTTTTTAGCTAGGGGTACTAAAACAGGATAGTACAGGCCAGACTATAGGTCGTTCTTTATGGCTGAACTGACTGCACTAGAGTTTTCAGAGTTTATCTTTTTTCCTCCACGTTGGAAGCAGAAAAATAAACTCTGAACTAGTGCAGTTAGTTCAGCTATAAAGAACAGATCTTATATATCTGTCCTGCCCATTGAAATATATACCATACTGGAACGAGCACGCCTTTGTTCTCGACCGGTCAGATGGAGATAGCTGTTCGGACCCGGATCTCTCTATCTAAACCAACAGTTTTTGGTCACGTGTTTACAGCTACTATAATGGCCGGAGCA